ATATATATATTCCTCTATAGTCACAAAGGATATAAATGTACTTTGTGTGCACCACGATGTTACCATATAACAATAGCTGTGACATCACTGTGCTGTACATTACCTGTGCTCTCTGCACAGGTAATGTACAGAGAACAGGTTCCACCCACTTCAGACTGCTTGCAGAAAACAATAGGAATGGGTGGATACAAGACCAGTCACTGCACAAAACAGTGACGGGTATTTATTACAGGAAGCTCCTGCTCAGTGGCAAAGTTTTACAATGGACTACTGCACAGATCTGGAAGAAATACGCAAAGCACACCAAGATTTCTGTAAAAAATACACATGACTTTTGTATTCAGACATTATCTGCTTATCCTGGAGTTTTCCTTTAAGCATGATATCCATGCAACAGGAACAGTAATTATCGGGAGGAGAGGTAAGCAGCAGCAGCCTCCACGTTTCTTAGCACGGGCTTTTTTTTTTTTTTGCCGTAGCAGATAGCACTATTTTGATTGCACCGGAACGCACTGCAGTCAACAATGTACCTTGCAGGTGATCGCATTTTGGCCGGAGGGCGTGGTTACGGTGCCATTCACTTCAATGGCCCGCCTCGCCCCCTCCAGCCCGGCAAAAAAGTAAGCCTGCCGCAATGCGAGGCAGTGCGTTCTGGCCAGAATCGGCCCGGGGCGCACTGCTTATGGTGTGAACTAACCCTAACACTTCTACACTAAATATAATTTAGCTCTCTAGATTTGAGCATGCGTCTTTAGACGTCCGCTCAGCCACGTGCCTGCGGCGTGCGCGAGTGGGAAAAGCCCAAATTCTAAAAACAGGCAGCGATGCCTGTTAACATACAAGCAATCTGCCGGCTATAGGTTTGCCCCTCCCTTCCGCGCCCCCATATCTTCCCCCGAAATTTTCAGTAAATTTTCCTTAATACAGTAAAAAATAAAAACTCCAGTGGTGATTAAATGCCACCAAAATAAAGCTCTATCTGTCTCCAAAAAATGGTATAAAATTCATTTCAGTACAGCGCTGCATGACGGAATAAATGCCAGTCAAAGTACCGCAGCGCTGAATACTGAAAAATGGTCTGGCCAGGAAGGGGGTCTAAACACCCCGGTCAGCAAGTGGTTAAATGAGGCCTTTGACATCATTTTTTATAAACGTGTCTCATCCTGAGAATTCATTCCAGTCAGAGTTATGTATCTTTATGTAAAGGTAAAGTTTAACCTTTTAATGTTTTTTATATTTGGTTTTGTCATGAGGAAAGACAAAAGTATGGGTCCTTTGGGAATGTTAGCTCCCTGGCTGTCATGCTGATGCACTGACTTCAATGCTTTGTGTGTCTCTGACTTGGGTCAATGTAGAGATGAGCAATTCTGACACTCATTAACAGCATGCGTGTTCCATGTCTGTGACTTGAAAGTATTGAAGCCAGGCAACTAGCATTTCATGAAGAGGCCAGCTCAGAGACCTCGCATTTTTCTCATGCCATTGACTGTAATATATAAGTGTGAAGGTGATCAACGTGGGCAGGTCTAACTGCTCTTGTTCTTTTACCAGTGACTTAGAATATACTGCAGCTAGGAACAGCCAGGGTTCTAGTCCTTCTTGGAAGGTCAGCAGTGACAGTATTCTTGTCAATGATGGAAGTGTTTTTCCATGCACAAGTTTCCTTCTTCCTCTTACAACATACAGATGCACCCT